AGATAGAAATAAAAAGCATAAAGTAGAGTAGTTCCCCCACATCCGAGGGGGATGAGTTCCAAGACCTCAATGGATACTTGACACTGTGGATAATATCAAACCCTGTATACACTACCATTTTTCCACAGATACATATCTTTTCACTGTCAGGAAGCACTCTATGGCTTCTCTCTGGCATATTCAAATTGTCACATCCCTGCTCTGGAGCTTTGGGGTCAATATCAAGTAAAGTATTATTAAGCACAGGCACTGTGACTCTGCCAGCTCATAAGCAAGATGGCTACTGAGTGACTCACAGGTGGGGTAGCGGATACAGCGTGGACATGATGGACAAAGGGATGTTTCACAGCCTGCATAGGACAGGGCAGGAACGCTCGCGATCTCATCACACTACTCAGAAAGGCATACGAATGAAAACGAATGCATTGTCTGTTTCTGGAATTTTCCATTAAATATTTTAGGACCACTGTTGACCATCATTGACTGAAACTATGCATATAGGAGGGTCTGCTGTATGTTTGTTTGCTCATAAAAATGAATACATAAATGGTTTTTTAAAAACGTGCTCTTTTCACCTAAATACATATGAACACATAAATGGTTTTTTAAAAACGTGCTCTTTTCACCTAAATACATATGGTGGCAATGTCATTAGAGAGAGTTCTATGACTGGAATTTAATGACACCATTGCAGCATCTACTTAATCAGTCCCTTGTGCTGGACACGCGGGTTGTTTTCCACTTTTCATCCTGTTGTACACACTGGCAGGTAATCTTCCTGTCTCTGGTTATTGGCCTGAGTAAACTCCCATAAGTACAATCACTTGCTGGGAGGATGTGCACATGGAAGGCTTTGGGTATCCACTGCCAACTTATCTTCTAGAAAACGTGCCCACGTGCGTCCCTGAGCTACACTGCTCCTCCTGGCAGTCCAGGTACGCCTACTTTAGCCTGCATAGTATTCTTCACTCTGTAAACGTAAGGTGACCAGATTTTAACATTGGTAAAGCGGGACACCATTGACGGGGAAGGGGGGGGGAGCGGGTTTTGATTAAAAATTTGGTCTATATGGAGCAACAAAAATTTTCATAGAATGCAAAAATAGTATTGTAATATTTTTTTTTAATTTCAACATAAGTACAATTTACAAATAAAAAATTATGTATAGTATTATTTTTTTCTTTGGCATATTTCTCATTTGAGTGAATTTTTTTAGTAGATCGCTGTTGTTTAAAAGGTCATGAAATTTTTCACAAGAATTTGTTAAATTATATTTCACACATAAAATGGCTTTCAAAGTCTCAATACTTAATTGTAATGTAAGTCAGTGTCACTTTCAAGGCCGGTGCTAGACTTTTTGCCACCACTATAAAATATAAATAATAAAATATAAATAATCTGCTAAATTCAAGAAAATTTATGTATTTATGAAATAAATAAATAAATTACTTACCTAAATTATCTGAATAGCTGATTTGTAACGACATCAATTTTTAACTACCTGATTAGCACACAGTACAATGTGTATCGTCTGAGAGACAGTTACAAAATGTTTTTTGTCCTTGCGAACTTTGATAAGCAGTTCTCAATAATCAGTTCTCAACAATTATTTGTTATTATTAAAGTTTAACATTATAAAATTAACAAAAATAATATAAAACTCATATCCTGGCTAAATAGCCACATGGCCGCTGAAAACTGTTTATTCCCTTCCCGTTATCCCGCCATTCCCTAGCTTGTCATGCATTCTTTCCAAAAATCGGGACTTTTTTTTAAAATGCAGCAGGACGCAGGACAAATTGTTAAAAATCAGGACTGTCCCGCCAAAAGTGGGATGTCTGGTCACCTTATGTAAAGGGCCCCAAAGCTTAGACTAGACAGTCTACTGAGAATGCATTCTGTTTCTGTGCTTGAAAAAATGTTTGAAAACATGCAAGTTTGGGTCCTTCAGACGAAAGTATCCCACAAGAAAGAAGCAGGTTATGAAGGAGGCCACCGAACGCGCACCATTCACTGTGCGTGCTCTTCACCTCGGGAGGAGTCAGCGCAGAACGAGACGAGCTGTGGATAACTTGTCCTGGGCCTTTATCCGCCTCCTCTCTGCAGGACTAGAGCTGTGCCAGGCACAAGTGCCCGGTGCTGTCCGTGGATCCGTAGGCAGGACTCACGCTGTAGCCCCGTGAAAGCCAGAACCCACCGATGGGGTCTCCTAAGAGCATCCTGAGTTTCCAGGAGAGTGTGAAGCAGGCGACAGGTTGCTCTCCCATTTTAACTTCTTCATTTATCACCCGAGCCCATTTAGGGGTGAGCAGGCTACAGAGCCCAGCTCTGTGGAAAGGAAGGCAAGGGTTCCGTACAGCATGGGGGATAGGATTTATCCCAAACTGTGAGCCCGCCCACCGACGGCTCCCCCACCCCCGCCGGAGAGAAGGGCCACGGACATGCTATTATTCTGGAAGCAAAGTCTTCATTCCCCTGACTTAGCACTGGTGGATACAGAGGTCTCTGCCTCTGCTGACTCAAGAGATTCTCGGCTCATCTCGGGAAGGACGGCAGGAAATAGCCTTGCTGGAAGGTAGGCCTGCGGTGGGTGTCTTGTGGGGACTCTTGGTCACGATGTGTCTATTTCGATTCCTTTGGAGCTTCTCGGGCTCGGTGGCCCCAGCGCTATTTAAATGGAACAGAACTCGGGCGAGTCTGTAGACTGCACCTCTAGGTGCTGGAGCAAATCCACAGGAAAGCTGCGTGAGAAAGCGGCCACTGCCTCAGCCCGTGGCCAGTCCAGGCTGCGGCTGCCTCTGGGGCAGCAGGTGTAGAAAGATGTGAATCTATTTCCAACGACGCTGTTGGATATAACTCTGGACTTAACTAGCCAAGCGGGCATTTGCCAGAGAGCATATGGGAACTGCCTGCCTCCCGACAGTTCCTGAAATATAGATGAGGAGACAGTATTTGGGGAAGGTTTCCTTAAAGAGATATTTAATCTGTTCATTCACCAGACGCAGGAGAAGAATCCCAGGGCACAGATGGATCACCAGAGAGCAAGGGACCCTGTCAAGTTGGACTGCCCACCAACCCCCACCCCCAATCCTCAGCCACATCCCAGAGCTGCCTGTTCGCCAAACAAATGATGTGCCACCAGCCCACGCACTCACCCGCGTGCCCTCCGTAAGGCCGCGGCGGGGAACGCAATTCTTTCCATCACGGCTGTTTCTCTATGAGGACTCCTGGGAACAATTCTGCCTGGCCCGTGTGAACCACAGTGAGAACTTTCCCGAGCAATTGGATTGTGTTTATCTCGTGGACACCGGGCACCGTGGATCTGACAGGCGGCCTCGGTTCCGTCGGCGGCTCCACTGCTGGAACACACGTTAGCATTCCTCCCAGCTCCGCGGTATTCTTCTCCCGCTATCTCGCCTCACTTGTAATTTCTGCTATCTTGTCACGTTGTAGGCGCCATTGTAAGCCACCTGGAAAGCATTCTGTGAGATAGGACTTGGCTTATGCCGAAACATAGATAAACCAAACGAGGGAGAGCGCCACGCAGCATGTCCCCACCTATTTTCTTCAAAACTTCAATTGCATTCTGCGTTAGCGTCCTTCCACCCCTAGACTCCAGGCTCAGGGTGTGCGACTCAGCACTGCAGCAGCTACCAGCATACAATAATTGGGAAAGCCAAAGAGAGACGAAAGTATGGTGACTGTCCCGTCTCTTTCTCAAGACTCAGCTCAAGCAGTGCCGTTGAAATGACATCGCTCCTTGGGAGCCTGATGCACTTGACCACCAATGACGATGAAAAGAGTGAATGACACCACGTAAGACGTGAGTGACACGTGGAAGGGCGCTGGGCTCTCCTGTGGTCAGCAGGCGGCCCAGGGGAATGGGAGAGGCAGGCATCGCTGTCATTTTCCTTCTACCGTCCTGCTAAGGAGCAAGGAGGAACCGCTCTATACCCAGAGATTTTCCAACTGCAGGAAATGCGCTCAAATCCAAGAAGAGAAGCAAAACTATGAGTGACCATCAAAGCGTGCTGGGCATGCATTAGGAACCAATATCCAAGTGGCCGTCAGGAGAAATGACAGAAGTCTCTTAACACATGACACTGGGGGGAACTGGCGTCAGCATCTCACAAGCAATTCTTGTAAGATGCCATCTTTCCAGAGCTATGCTTTCCGGTAAGGCTCTCTGCAATGTCAGGCATGCTCTGTGCCCACATTTGTCCAGCAATGTGGCTGGTGCAATGGGTTTTGTATTTTATTTTAATTAATTATATTTAAATAGTCATACTAAATTTAACAGGTTGCAGGATATAAGATCAATATATGAAAGCCATTCAGATTTCTATATACTAGTAATGAAAAATCAGGTACTGAGATTTTTTTTAAAAAATATGAGATACTTAGGGATAAGTCTGACAAAAGTTGTACACAGTGAAAATTATAAAACCTTGATGTGTAAAATTACTAAAGACTAAATGAGTGAAGATATATACATCATGTTCATGGTCAGAAGACTCATTATTGCTATGATGTCAGTTTTCCCCAAAGTAATCTATAGATTTGCTGCAATCAGTCCCTATCAAAAGCCTTCCTTTTTTTTTTTTTTTTTTTTTTTTTTTTTTTTTTTTTTTTTTAGACATTGACAAAGTGATTCTAAAAGTCATTTTAAAATGCAAACATTCCTGGAATCTAAAATAAAAGTTTGCCTTCGCCCTGGGAATCGGGGCTTAAAGGACAAAGCCTGTGAGATGGCAGTTTGGGAAGGTCTTGTTCTGGCACTTTTATGTGTGTAGCCTCAGTCACTACATCTGTAAAATGGGTATCTTGATTGCTTACATAATAGAATCAGTTGCCATTTAGTAAGACCATGGATGCTAAATATCATCTTAGAAGCAGAGGTACTTAAAAATATCCCTTCCCCTTCCCCACCAAGTCCTTCATCACAGTAGGGGCATTCTTCCCTCACTAAGGGGTGAGGAGGGGACCTCTCCCATCCTTACCTGGAGCCAGAGTTTGTCATGCTGAGACCACTTCCCACCGGCGATGCACTGGAAGGTGGCATTCTGGCCCACATTCACCTCAACATTTTGGAGCCGCAGAAAGTGAGGTGCTTTTCCTATGAGAGAAACCAGAGAGCATGTGAGAACAGAATTCAGCAGTGGAAACAGCCTTCCCGGTGGGCACTAGGCAGCTCAGCACAGACCTCTGGCAGAAGGGATGTGCTCCTGGGGGGCGGCCTGGCTCAGTGAGGAGCTGCTGTGGGTGATGGCTTGCTATGAGCTGGCTATATTCTGAGAACTTCCATGCATCCTCTTGCCTCAAACCTTACAAAAACCCATGGGGTGGGCAGTGTCTCCACTTCTCGGGCCAGAAAATTAAGGCTCAGCGGGGCTACATGATTTGGCACAGCCAGGCAGCCAGAAAGTGGGGGAAACAGTATAGGTCTCTGAGGACCTCAAATCCATATGAAACGCTGGGCAATAATGCCATGTTTGGAAGAAGAGATCGGGGGAGGGGTTCACCATAGAAAATCCCTCCTGGAGCCTGGGAGGGTAGAAAGAAGAAAGCTGAAGTGAAGCACCTTTGGGACTCAGACCTCCAACCTGGCCTGGTTGTTAATGAAGAAGATGCTGAGGAGGAAGAGAGGGGAGGAGAGAGAAAAGGCGGGGGGGGGAGGGAGAGGAAGGGGGAATACTAGCAGATTTCATTCCCATAGGTGGACTGAGAGTGGTGTCATGGGCAGTGTCTACACAGTAGCTCTTTTAAACCGGCGCAGCTGGTGGTATTATCTCCATGTCACAATAAGTGAAATGAGGTCCAGAAAACTCAAAAAAAAAAAAAAAGTTCACAGTCTACATTCTTTGCTGTAAGCTCTGGTGTCTCGGAACAATGGGAAGGAGATGGGAACTTACTTTGGGGACTTGGCATAGCAGAAGAAAGGGCTTTCAAGAGAAATTCGGGGTCTATAAGCGATCAATTCTAGAATGAAATGTACGGTGGATGACTTGGGTCATCTCCTTTCTTGTGGGGATAAGTCCTCACCTATGTGAGCACGTCGAAGATGAGTGGATTGGTAACCTCTGCCTAGAAAAATGAGTTTCTTCAATGAGGTACAAAAATGCCATGGGTCCTTATCATATCAACCACTCCCAGAATGGGATTAAATGGGGGGAAGGGGGTGCTAAGAAGATCAAGGAGGTACAAAAGGGCCTGTTTGCCAGAGCGAGTCAAATATCCAGAGAGACACATAATAATGATAATGTCATTTCTTTGAAAGCTCCTACAATGCCAGGTACTAGAACTGTGATAAATGCTTTAGAGATTTTATCTAATTTAACTTCATAACATTCCTGTAAAGCAAACACTAATATCATTTCCCTTTTAGAGAAGCAGAAGCCAAGGCTCACCAAGTTTAATTTGCTCAAAGCGACACAGCAGTAATGACAGAAATGGGATTCAGACCAGACCCATGTTAGCCCCAAATCACCCATTTAATGAGCACGTTCTCTTGCTTCCTGAAAGATGGGAGGTCAATGGTCTCACCTGGACCCTAGGATCCAAAGACAGGGCTCACAGGAAAGGCTGTGCTGATTCTCCAGACGCCTCTCATTGCTCCCAAATATTTTATCTCCAGTGATCACTATCCTTGCATTTTGTCCTCATCGCCTTCACCCTCTCAACTATCTTGTCTACCAAACTGCATTACCGCCTCTAAAGCTCAGCAAAACCAAGAACCTTGGTGAGATTAGGCAAATGCTTGTACAAAAACATATACCTTCTACTCTGTTTTGTTTGTTTGTTTTTTAAACAAATAACAATAGTTCAGAGGCTCCCTCGTGCTACCTTCCGGACCCACGGCTAGAATGGGATCAACAGTCCAGGCCCCTGGAAGACCTCTCCTATGAGCATCTCAGAGTTGAAGATTCCTCACATCTAGTCAACCTGACACATGCCATGCTGCTCTGATTGTCTGGAATTGTTTCCTTTCTGCTCTCCCATATAATTTGCACAGTTATTTTGAGAGCTATCAGTTCAAGTCAATTCTTCTCATAGTATGTTCCATGAGTCCAAAGCCCATGTATGTCACAGGTTTAAAGGGCAAAGGGAACATCTACCCCACGAGAGAAGGGAGCTCAGAGTCTTAGCTGTAGTGCTGGGAGGCTTTGCGTTAGGTTCCGAACAGGATGCCGCCCCTTACCCTTGGGGAGCCCTGGGCACATGGATGAACCTTTGGGATTTCTGCGATTAGAAATGGATCTTCTCTGGACCAAAGTCCCTGTTTTCTTCTGACCCCACCTTCTGGTTTGACAAAGCAGAACTTTTGCCTTGATTCTCTCACCTTCCATCCCTCTCTCTCCCTTCCTTCTGGGTTCAGTGGTAGACAATTGAGAAGCTTCGTTGCCCCACGTGTTACCATTCATCCATGTCTCTGATCTTTGAGCCCTGGTCTCATCGCCAGGTCACGAGGCATCTGTCTCTGGGGACCTTCTTACGTCGGCGACCTGTTTGGTCCACTTCTCTGAGCTCCTGGTCTCTCTGGCCCTCCTCTCGACCTCAGTGCCACTCTCCAGTTTACTGCTAAGCCCTGTGCACTCTCGGCTGCTATCCCCTCCCCCCCAGCATCCACATTAGTATCCCCACCAGCTTCAACTCACCCACATACAGGTGACCTCAGGATCCAGACCAGCCTTCCACACTTTCTCCCCATGAAGACTAAAACGGGATCCTGCTGCATAGGCTTATCAGGAAGTTGCTGTGCATGTGGGGTAAAATGCCTTGATGCCGGTGACATTTAAACTCCTGCAGATGTCATTGCCGCATCTGAAGACATATTATTCTGCCCTTTATCTCACGCTTTAAACCTGACAGCGCTCAGTAGGAAGCCACGCAATTGAGGAGAAGGCTCAGTACATACATCAGAGACGTGTCGCGGACGCTCCACGGGTTCAATGACATTGTCCCACAAGGTTGGTGTAAAAAAAAATAGTTTAAAAAATTCTAAAAGTCAACTTAGGAGTTATAAACTTTGAAATTGGGTGGAAAATTGTGCTGACATTTCTCATACACAGTTACAACCGTAGCGGCGATCAGCTAACACCGAGAAACAACAGAGGAGAGTAACTGTGGCTGAAACACTATTAAAATAACACCAAAAAATGTTCAATGGGCTTTAAAATACAGACGAGAGGTTTTGGTTTATGAGGAAAATGATTTCCTTCTAATGGTATGCCTATCTTTTCGTCACTGTTTTGGAGACTGTGAGGCAAGTGTTTAAAGCCCTAACTCTAGCCGAAACCAGTTTGGCTCAGTGGATAGAGTGTCGGCCTGTGGACTGAAAGGTCCCAGGTTTGATTCCCGTACCTTGGTTGTACCTTGGTTGCGGATACATCCCCAGTAGGAGGTGTGCAAGAGACAACTGATTGATGATTCTCTCTCATCGATGTTTCTAACTCTCTATCCCTCTCTCTTCCTCTCTGTAAAAAATTCAATAAAATATATATTTTTTAAAAGCCCTAACTCTAGCTCAAATTGATCAAGAATACAATTCCTAATGGGGCACCAATCCCCCTGGAATTTTTGGATACTTAATAATAAATGCTGACCACATGTTAAGATAAATGATGTTTTGGAGGACAGAAGTGAAGAATATAAAAGCTTGACATAAAGAGAATGCACATTTCTCCATCTAGTTAAATATTTAACCATCTTTGAGTGAACTTATAGATGCATTCATATTAACGCTAGAGTCAGGAAGAAGGCATTGTCAGCCCAATGGACAGTCCAAAGCCACCAGCAGGTTGCACGGCACGTGTTCTCATGAGCACAGTCAGTACGTTGGAAGACAGAAATCAATCCTCCCCAGACTCACACCATCTGAGCCTGTGCCAGTGGTGTAAGCCCCAAAGCTGGGAATTCTCCATTTCCGGTGCTTCTGGCTCCCCATCGAATCATCACATGGGACCAGTCGGCTTTACCCCTTAAATGTATCCCTAATCTACCCACCTCTGTCCATCTTTGTGTTTTATGTTTCTTCACGGTATGGCTTGCCATCTGCTATGGGCTGAAGTGTACCCCCAAATTCCTATGTTGGAGCCCTAATGCTCAATAACTCACCCTGGGATTGTATTCGGTGAGAGAGCCCTTAAAGGGGTTATTAAGTAGAAATGAAGTTGTTGAAGTGGGCCCTATCCAATCTGCCAGGTGTCCTCATGAGAAGAGAAGATCTGGGCACACAAGCACACGGGCAGGTGTGCATGGAGGAAAGGCCACTGAAGACGGAGTGAGAGAGCGCCATCCACAAGCAGAGGAGAGGGGCCGTGGAGGAAACCACACCTGCGTCTTCATCCAGGACTTCCAGCCTCCAGCACTGGGAGAAAATAACTGTCTGGGCCTCCAGACTGTGAGGTTTAGTTACGGCAGCCTCAGCAAACTAATACACCGATTGCTATAGGTCATAGAGTGACCTGACGTTTGTTTCACTTCCAGTCTCTTTCACTTTGAGGGAATCCCATGAGAGCAGAGAATGAAACTCTCTTAGTCTCATCAGCCCAGAATAGTGTGGGCAGGGAGTCCCTGCTCAGGAAACACTTGTTGAATGATGAGTGGCTATCTCTCCGCTCCCCTGGTCCGGGCCGCTGTCACGATCTCTTGCATGAATCCAGAACTTTCTTTCTAATAGATCTCCTGTCTCTGTTCCCCTTCAACTCTCTCCACAGAGCAACCGAAATGATCTTTGAACAATTAAATGAGATCATATCAACCCCTAGCATAAATCCTTCTAGTGGTGCCCCCTACACTTAGATTACAATAGAAACTGCTCAGATGACTCTCAGGGCCCCTCATGGCCAGGCCCTGGCTTCCTCCCCGAACCCCACCCCCACCTCCGCTCCAGGTGTTAGCTCAGACCACTTGCCCTGCACACAATGCCCAGGATACCCCACCATCAGTGATTCCTACTGTAAGGCCTCTGCACTTAGGTTTCCTCCACCTGGAATGCCCCTCCCCAAATCCTTATGCAGAGAACCCCTTCTTGTGACTCAGGGTGCAACTCAGATCATGCCTTTAAAGACTTGTCTCCTGGCCGCTTTATCTAAGGAGCCCTCCCATATTCTAGTTATTCGCCTTTATTATAATCATAGCACTTACCGCTATCTGAAATTACATTAGTGACTTATTTAATATTATTTATCTAGTGTATTTCCTCCCTCTGCCCCTCTGCTAAATATACACTGTGAAAACAAGGACCTAACTTATCTTGATCACTTAGATATTCCCTGTGTCCAGTAAAAGTTCTTGACACGCAGCTAATGCTCAAGTCTACTTGTCGAAAGAAAGGATGGATGGACACCTGGACTGGATTTGGGCTGAGCAAGGGTCCTTGGGAAGGGGCCTAGACTAGGCTCTGCTCAACTCCACCTGACTCATGAGTGGTGGCTAGATCTCTGAGGACGGTATGTATACACAGCTAAATGGAACTTTTCCCATTCCAACCACTATCACAGAGTCCTCACGCTTTGATTTCTGGGAAGTTTAAGTTTCCGCTGCCTAAGCATCCAGGCTGAACTGGGCCGAAACACATTATGCTGGAGCTCAGCCAGGGTCACGTCTTCCTGAGTTATATCCCACGGCCCATTTGCAGGGTAACTGGCCCTCAGTAATTCCATAACCCATGCAACGCACCTTCTCAGCAGGAGGAGGATGAGGCTGTCGGAAGAATTCTAAATTCAGAAGCAGCCCCAACCAGAGGAGGATGCTAAGAGGAGGATTCTTAGGCATCCATGTGCCTTCCAGGGAACCCTCTCCCTTGGAGATTTCTCAAGGAGAAAGAAATATTTGGCTGCAATGGCAAACCATAAATGGTGTTGGGAATCAAGGCCAAGCTTTGCCAATCTGACCCTGAAGGTGGTTGAGGCTGAGATCAGAAACAGGTGTATAGTTGAGCCTCATGGTGAAGGTACACATTCTCATCAGAGCACAGAGTCCTGGGGTTTGGGGAAAGAGCCAGGCCAGATTCTCCTGGGAAGAGGCAAACATCAGCTGCTTAGAAGAGCAAGGGCAAACCTCACTCACAGGATTGGGAGCAGGAATGCACTGGAAGCAGCAAAGGTAAGTGTCCTCTCGGAGGATGGGATGTGTGCAGGGCTGGGTGCTAAAACTAGGATCTATTTCAGAGAGACTGCCTCAAAACTGACGGCTGTGCAGGCCTGAGGTTCAATGAACAACAGGCAGAGCAGACAACTCCCCAACCAGTTGCCCAGGCTGAGGACGAAGCTCATTCTCCAATGGGCAATTGATGCTGATGCCAGGAAGTAAGGGAAGGGAAGACTTAATCCCAGAAAGGGGGACTCATCTGCATCTCACCATGGAAACCCACACAGCGGGGACAGGGAAAATTTCTGGGACCCTTTCCATATGAAGTCAAGTCCATCAGAGACATTTGCCAGGCGTGATTGAATTGACAGATCCATTAGAGAGAATTCCAAAGACTCAGAAAGGAACTCAGAGGGTAGGGGTATCTTAGTCAGAGAAAGCAATGGAGAGTGGCACAGGACCTCAGCATTCCCGAGATGGCGGCTGATTTCTGGGAAAGAAAAGTCTCTTGCACAGACACCAAACACAGTTACCCCAAATATTGTCTTGCCCAAACCCCTTGAGATTTGACCCTATTTCCTCCAGAGAAGGTGCTCCAAAGCGATGAGTCAAACAATGGCATCAGGGAAAGAAAGGCTCTGACACATTCATTGCAGCAGGAGTAGGAAGAGTCATTTTAAATAAAAGCAGCATGGATGGGCCTGAAATGAGAATAGCCCCCGAATGGGAGGACAGAAAGGACAGGGCACTTGATGTCTCTTGAGGGAACAGTAAATGGCACCATCGCCAATAGCATGACTCATGGCTATGAGGGGAGTGGGAGAGTAGAGAGGGCCCTACTAAGAGTTGCCTGGAAACAGATGGCTGCTGAGAATCTCCACTACACAGAACATTAACTAATGGGGCTGGCATCCCAGTGTCCTCCAGGGGGCTACCATAATCCCCATTCACATCCCTTTGATGACAGCCCTCCCCCCACCCCATGGGATATGACGTCATCTCCACTACCTACATCCAGGTCTTGTCCCCTCTCAGATTTAATGAACCTGGGAACCGCAGCTCCTTGCTCAAACACATTCAAATGTCTTACAATAAATACAGCGAAGGGAGAGAAATTCAAGGGGAAACTTGATGGGCACAGAGGAGTGGAATGCACTGGAGGGCTCTTGACACTGTACCGTAAGTACTAACCGCTGTGAGAAATCTTTCTCTATGCCTACACAGAGCTGATGAGTGAATTTAAAATTACTTTTAAAAATTAATAGCTTTGGGGTACTTTTCCCTGTGAGTGAACAGTGTACTAATTTCTTCAGTGTTTTGGTGGTGTTCCTTTAAAAAAAAAAAAGACAATTGTACACAATTCTATCCAAAGCCCTCTAATTCTTCCACTTCAGTGGTCTGAATCCCGCTAATAAACAATCAGGACTTTAGACTCCCTTAATAATGGGGAGAGATTCAAACGAAGATGTTTTGCCAGTCTCTGCAAATTGCTGGAGGTGCTGCCTATGAAACAGGCTGGCAGAATTATGGATTTATTCAGGACTGATTGCATTGAGGACGTAAGCACTTGGGAAGAATTAAAAAAAACAGAGAGAGTGAGAGATGTCTATGAGCTGAATGCAGAGGGGGGTGGCAGCCTCCAAGCCGCCCAGTCTGACGAGGAGGAATAAGGCTGCGCTAGGAGAAGGGAACAGACTTACTGCATGGATGTGCGAGGACCCGGACCTCGTCCACAGCGATGTAGCCAGGATGACCTTTCAAAGAGACGGATTCAAATATCACCTGCAAGACACACAGGGCGGGAGTCAGTTCCAGAGAAATGGCTGTAGGCACTGGTCGTAGGAATGTGCCCACTCCCCAAAACCCTTTATGGTTCTGCTTCCCATCGGAATCGGCCGAAGAGACCTTACATCAGGCTAGGATGCTCTCCTGGCAATTGACTTGGATTTTCAAAACAAGGTGGAAAGGCCTGTGACGAGCAAAAGGAAAGTCAGCCACATGGAACATTTTTTAATAGATTTCAGAAACAATGCTTGGATGCAAGAACAGCAACCCAAAAATGGCCTGCCGACCCCAATCTGCACCTTTCTCATGGTTGTTTCAAGTGAAACACAGAGTAGAATTACTTCCTAACACCCAACTTTCTTATGAAGGGTGGGGGAGGAACTTACCTTGGGAGCTCCCATAAGAAAAGGGGGGTTAATCCTGACTTGATTCTATATCCCCAAGGAACACAGTCCATCTGAATTTCTTAATGACACCTTGCAAAATTTGCACAACTGTTGGTATCTGGGGATCCAAGGGCAACATTTTTTTTTAGTTCTCCATTCTGACTCCCGCCCAGACTGCTTGTTTCAGTAGAGATTTTGTGGCTCAGTTAATGGCTTTCTTTGTCACCCAACCTCTACCTTCATCTAGGAGCTATGACTAGCCATGTGGACAACCAGACCAACCCACTGACCTATCTAACGCTAATGACTTTATCTTCCACTCAGCGTCAGCCACAGACTCAGACTTGTCCTTCTCCTCTTCAGAGAGTGGAAATTCTATCTTCCTATATATTAGCACAGCCTCCTACGCCATACCCCACTCCCAATTCATTCATCTTAAATGTTCATTCAGGTTCATGTGGTACCCTGGACCTCAAGTCTTCCACAGTTTACAGGCTTGCCTGGACCTCCCTAGGTAGGATGTCCCAAATAATGTATATACATTTTAACAGATGATAATTCACGTAATTTTGAAAATGTACTGTATGTTAGTCAACACTGACTTTATAATCCTTCAAAGTGTGCATCTATTTTTGGGACACCTTATATTTTCAACAAGCCTGGGGTACCCCCACTACATTGGATAATCACGCATACCTATAGCACCAATTCCACATCAGCTTCATTACAACTCTGGCAAGCCCGTTACAATACTGTCTTCGCCACGGGGACTGGTGGAGAGGGTGGTGATGGCTTTGAAGAGGCAGCTTCCCCTAAGTCAACATATGGCTGCCTGGGAATTAAAGAAAGTGACTCGGGAACGGCAGTCACACCAAACATAGAGCAGCTGGCATCAGCATGACAACCACTGGGGAAGAGGGTTTACTAAGACACAGGGTCCTTCAGAGAGAGTTAACAAACAGAACCATGCAGGAAGGATCAGAAAGTTTGCGGAAATGAAAGTGATAGCAGCCTCATCAGCAGAGAGAAAGTCAGCAGAAGGCCCTTCTATCAACAATTGCATATCTAATTATGTTTTTAGTAGTTCAAATGAAACCAAAATCAAAATCCATAGGAAAAAAATAACAAGAAAATATAATACAGAGGATACATTTATAAAGAAACAGTATAAAACTATTCAAGTTGTATAATAAACGTGACAAAAGTAACAAGAATATTTGTGACAACAAATATAAATAGGTTAAAATAGAGAAAAGCCCACAGACTATCCAAATAGACAAAACCTAATTGTATGCTATCAGATAAATACCTAAAGCAGAATGACTCATAAATTTTGAGAACAACAATTTGAACAAAGGGAAATAATAGGGAAATACAAATGAAAAAACAAAACAAAACAAAAAAACAGTTATTTCAAAAATAATGTAAAAGCATCAGAGCAGAATTTAAACCAAAAGGGCAACAAAAACTATTAAGTGGACTAAAATGGTCATTTAAAAGAATGTCTGGCCTGGCCTACGTGGTCTAGTCGGTTGAACATGGAGATATGAACGAGGAAGTCATCCTTCAATTCCCTGTCAGGACACATGGCAAAATCCCCAGTTTTGGGGGTGCAGGAGGAAGCCAATCAGTGATTCTCTCTCATCATTGATGTTTTTTTCTCTCCTTCTCCCTTTCTCTAGTAAATCAATAAAAAAATATTTTTTTAAAAAGAATGTAGGAGTCAGTAAACTTAAAAGGAGAAAATGATGGAAACAAATAGTAGATACAATTTAAATAAAACTGTATTTATACTTATTTAACCCATGTTTTAGATTTCGACAAATTAAACAGAAAAAAAATGCATCTATCAAGTATGTACACAATATAAACAATGATGCATTTCCTAAACAAATGTTAATGAATTTAGATAATAAAATTTATGTTCAAATATTCATGGGTTATTTCCACAAAGATCATATAACAGACTAAAGTATAATTTCAATCAACTCATCAAAGAATAAACCACATATGTTTGGAACTGTACATTTTCTAACTAAATTCAATAAATCTAGAAATTGACAAATGCTTAAAAGTCAATTTCTTAAAATTGAAATATGCATTACTTAAATATAAAATACCTTCTCAATAATTATGATGTCAAAATATGTTTTGTATATTAACAAAGCCTAAAACAAATTTAAAAGTCAAATGGCATGTTGGAAAAAAATCTGTAATTATATATGCCAGCAAAAAGGTGAATGACCTGTTTTGTGTAAGGAATTCTTAAGACTCACAAAATAAATAAATTCTCCAAAGAAAAATCGGCAAGTAACATCAGCAAGGCAATTCACAAAAGATGAAGTCGGAATGGTAATAATCTATGAATGCAATTTTTTAATGACATGGGAAATTATGGTAGATGATCATTTTCTGTTTTATACTTTTCTAGATTTTCCAAAACTTCTGCAGTAAAAATGAACTATTTTATATTTTATACTAAAAATGGAAAGTTTTATTTGCATATCTCCCTTCATGTTATATTATCATGTTATCATGTACCACCATACAATTAGCACCTATCACACCTTATTGACATTGCTTGCTCACAAATCATTTCATTCCCTAATCTCTAAAGCCACTGACAATGGGAAAAGTGTCTTCATTTGTCCATGCATCTATTTATTCAGTCAATATTTAAAGAGACCCTTCTACGTAATAAACATTGAGACACATACTGAGTGACAAAAGTGAACAAGAATATTGAGGTCCTAGCTCTAATGAATTTCACATTCTAGTGAATGAAAATGGAAAATAAACAAATCAATATGAAAAGTTAAACTAATTGTGTGATTGTTAGTAGAAGGGAAATAAACAGAATATTGTGATGAAGAGTAACTAAGAAGAGGGTCTATATTACTTAGAGTGCTTAGGAGAGAACATCGAGGAGGTGATAATCACTATGACACCAGAAGGATGAAAGCGGCCAGACAAGGTGCCAAGTGCGAAGACTATGAGGAAGCAAAGAGCTCAGAGGTGATCTGAGAACACAGAAAGGAAGCTGGGACACAGAGCAAGCTAGAGAGGCACAAAGCCAGGCTGGGGTGCAGGGGGGTCAGGTGACTTGGGCTCTTACAGGACATAGTCAGGAGCTTGAATTTTCTTCTAAGTTGCTGAGAGATTTACACAGCAAGGAAGAGATGCATTCTAATTTATATTCTAAAAAGATCTTTCAGACCAGTCTGTGGAAAAGGACTGACTGGCAGGTGGGCAAATGAGAATGAACAAAACAAACAGACCTATCCCTTGGCTACTGTAGTCATCCAATCAAAAGATGAGGATAGCTTTGGGCCCTGGCAGGTAGCTCAGGTGGGTATAGCTTTATCCTGATGCCAAGGTTCCTGTTTGATCCCTGGTCAGGGCACATATGGGAATCAACCAATGAATGCATAAATAAGTGGAACAAATATATATATATATATATATATATATATATATATATATATATATATCAAGTAAATTATATATATCTTCCCCTTTCCTCTGTCTCTCTAAAATCAATAAATAAAAAGAAAAAAGTGAGGATATTCTTCATGACTGTGGCGGCTATACAGAATAAAGGTTGGTGATGGTTTAAGAGATATTTCAGAGGTAGAGACTAAAAGAACTGCTGTTAGATTAACAGAAGAGTGAAGGAAAGAGAAGGCTTAGCGAGGACACTTCAGTTTAGAGCTTGAGCTTCTGGGCTGAGTCTGGTGTCATTTACTGACATCGGGAAAGTGACTGATGAATGTGTGTGCACAGGCACACAGGTCGGCTTTGTCAGGATTTCCTGGTGGCTATGTTAAGTTGCGATGACAATTAACCATCATAATGGATACCTTGAGTAGGAAGCTGACATTACGTTTCTGAAACTCATGGGTAATTTAGGAACCAGAGTTACAAATGTGGTAACTTTGGCATCTAAGAGTCATTTAAAGTTGTGGAACGAGATAAGGTCACCTTGAAAGGAAGAGTAGATAGCCCAGAGATGAGTGCTAGGGCCCAAGGCCAATAGAGGATGTATTTTTTAGGATGGTAGAGACTGGAACATGGTTTTAGATAAAAAGGAATGAATCAGGGGAGTAGCATATAGAATATGAGTGAGAGACAAATGAAACAAGATTTTAAAGGGGACAGGAGTCAGTCCATTGGGGTCAGGGTACCAGTGGAATAATGGGTACTGACCAGAGGGCCACTTTATCAACTGAAACTGAATGATAATAAAGTAATGCAAATGGAGAAATATACCCACAATGATAAAGGTCACAATAATGACCTTTTTTTTTTTAATGTGATCTTGTACTAGCCTCTCAACAGCCCCAATAAGCAGAACCAGCTGGATAACTCAGAAAGGAAGTCACAGGTGGCTGAGAGCTGAGGTCCTGGCCTCCTGGTTCCCAGTACACAGCCATGGCCATTCCTGAACTTTGGTGAAAAACTTCCCAGCTCTCATTTAACCAAAACCCCTGAGTAAGCAGAATTCTGGGTTTTATTCCAGTTAATCAAAGATTAACTTAATTCTTCCAATGCTTTGCTTTTCATATCCTCACCCAGTACCTGTCCAATATCACAATTAATAAATATTCTATGAATGAACACAAGGCTTGGCATGGGAAGAGGGATGTGTGACAGTGAAACATTCATTTGTTCACTGTTCTTTTTTTTTTCCTTCGCAGAAGTGAGAGTTCTATAATGAGGCAGAGTATCTTTCATTCATCAGAACTCCTCCTGGGAATGTTTCTGTAAAGCGTTAGGGAAGGTAAGATTTTGGTTTCTCAAATATGAGAGAGTAATATTCCGTAAGAAACATGGGAAAGCATGTTCTGGTTTTCTATCAAATGAGCTGATAATTCTCAAGTGCTTACAGTAGACATGGTAAGGTATCTGTACGTGTCAGGAATACTATTGTTCTTGCTCTAGAGAGGGGGATGGGAAATTAGAGGAAAGGCAGGAATGGTGCTAGATCTAGGGACAGGGAGAAAGTAAAGGACTGTCCACGTGACTTACCCCTTTTACCTCCACCCCAAATTTCCACTGAAGTTCCTACACTCTGCAGACACTATGGTGTGAGTCATGACTGGTAATAACTGGTGGAGGGATTGCTCAGGGTGAAATCAAGGAGGCCTGTGCAGACATGGAGGAGGGTCTGGTGTTTAGGTGAGAGGATGGATGGATGAGAGAAGTGACGGTGGAGTTCTGAGGGGGAGAGGCCCTCTCCCGGGAATGCATCCTCCTGAACTGTGCATGAAGTTACTAAACCTGCAGAGTGCAGAGTGCCCGGCGGCGCCTGAAGGCCTGCTGAGAAAGGGTTTCCAGTCCAAATCAGGCAACTCCTACATTTCAGGAGTCCACAGAGCAATTACACTGTGGGATAAAAGGTGATTTCAGCCAGGCAGGTGATGGAGCAGAGAGAGCCAGTGGCTGCAAAATTAATAATGAGGTCTTTTATTTCTAAAAAATCTTGTGATGGATGAGTTCAGAATCATTAAAAACATGAAACAGAATTAATATCCCCTGGAAAGGGGCAGTGATCTGAAGCTGGGCGTGCTAAGCCCTGACTGGACCGAGAGACGCCGGTGGGAGTGGGGGTGAAGGCAGAGGGACAGTCCTACCCCGGGCCTGTTCAAAGCCTCCTGCCAGAAGACCCACTAATAAGAAAGATAAAATTCCCCTGTTTATTACGGAGCTAAAGGTCCATTGTAGGACTGTGAAATATGACTTTAATAAGTGGATACTGGATACCTAACCACCCATATGTGAGGACCAGCACTCCTGAAAACTAACTGTGTTTAATCCCCAGCCTCATACATGCAGGGCCAGGGCTTGGGTGTCTGGTGAATTTAAAATCCACTTTGCAAAAGTCTTCGAATCTCCTGGTAGGTCCCCTCTCCTCGCCTGCAGACGTACATGAGAGTGGGTGCCCGAGTGTGCATGAGTATGGGAACACGCAGGCCTATGAGCCTCTGTGTGTGCTCCACTCTGCGTGTGTGGCCATGAGACCATCCACTACTGCCTCTGTGTGTGTGTGTGTGTGTGTGTGTGTGTGTGTGTGTGTGTTCTAAACTGCTGCTCTCAGCGTATTAGTGGCTTTTTCACCACGAAGCTCAGAGAGAGGGAATGCAATGTAATGTCACAGCACTACAGTGGCCAACAAGTTGGAAATCAGAAAATAAAATTCCCCCAGATGAAGCTGCTGTCACAGGGCCGGCTCGGAGTTTACCCAGGACAGCTCTGCCACAGAGGGCATTTCTTTTAAAAAGTTCTCCTTCCTCCTTCCTCTTTGTCTGCTCTCCCCTATCTGACCCCTCCTTCCTTCCTTCCCACAACTGCTGACAAGTCTTTATGTATGTCCTGCCTTATGTAATCCACAGAAGAACCCCTCTTTGGACCCATTACCGTCTCGATCTTACAAATAAAACAACCGTGATTCAAAATGATGAAGAGATGCATTCACCATTACAGAGCCAGTGAGTGGAAGAGTCTCAGAATGGAAAGGCTATTGGCCCTAAGGAAGGAAATAGGACTTGGAGCCACAGGACCAGTTTGCCAAAAACGTCCCCTATTCAGGTATGTTGCTACCCACACAGGAGTACAGGGGAGTGAGAGGCAATGCGTACCACAGAGCTGGGACATAGGGATGCCCAAGAAACTTCTCTTTTCTCCTCCATACCCATCAGAGACCATGACCAATAGTGCCACTGTCACTTTCCTGGGTCACTTATCCTGCTCATAATACTTGCACCTGTGGCTCCATCCTGTCCCATTGGCACCAGGTCCCAGTCTGGGGATTTCTGACTAAGACCTGAAGGTGTCCATGGAGGTATCTGTGGGCTAATAGAGACATTTGGTATTTACACACTGAAGCATCTGGCTCTGGCCCCAGTTTTGCCAGTGATTTGCTGTGTGCTCTTGGACTAAGTGGTCTCTCTCTGGACCTCAGTTCTATCATCTACATCAGGGTTCATCAAACTATGGCCTGGAGGTCATGTCTGGCCCACTTGTTCTTGTCCATAAAGTTGTACTGACACACAGCTACATCCATTTATTTCCATATTATCTACGGCTGCTTCCAGGACACGTCTGAAAGGACTGCACCTTGGATGTTGAACTGAAGGATGTCTCAGAAGCTCCCAGCCACTAACCTTGCCACCCTCTGTTCCACCTTCTGCTCCAGACTCTGGAGAAAGTTCTCCAAAATGCAGATCTGACTATGTCACTCTCTTACTGAAACACTCCCAACAGGGGGTATGGGGATTAACTGAAAATAGGCACAAGGAAAAAAAAAATAGGCACAAGGGATCTTGTTGGGAGGTGGAAATGTTCTAAAACTGGTTTGTGGTGATAATTGCACAACTCAGTGGCTTTACTAAAAATCACTGAATTGCTCAATTAAAGTAAGTGGATTCTGTAATATGCAAATTGTGCCTCCAGAGTGCTGTTGACACAGTCCCAGGTGAGGACAACCTAGAGCTGTGTGGGCTGGGGCTGGCAAGCATGTTGCATCTCGGTCCCCAGTGGGATGAGCAAGGAAATCGAGAGAGGAGCTTAGAAACCGTGACAGCAATCGGCCATGGCTGTGACATTTTCATTGCCATTTGTACAAGTATAGGTTCAAACTGAGTTGGGGAGGGAACTTGTCTTTCACCACAGAGTGTGAGAAGCACTGCTCTAGACCCGAGAATGTAGGTAATGCCCTTGGCCTGGCATTTGGGGCCCACATGACCTCCGGACCCCTGCAGGCTCCATGCCCTGTATGTCTCCTTTACAACCTCCCCTTAGTCCACTTCGAGTGTCCAAACTCTGCCAACATCTCTCACCCACTTCCCTGAGCCCATGGCCTGCCCTATCCCTGACAACTCAAACGCCTTTCCCTTCCTTCTTCAACAATCGCTTATTCACCCTTCCAGACTCGGCCTCATGGTCAGCTCCTCTGAGAAGCCATCCTAACTCTCTTGCCACCCCCACCCCCTAACCCCGATCTTCTCTAGAGGTGATCTCTGACTAGTTACCTCCTCCTCTGAACTTCAACCTTTTCATCTGTAAAACAGGGAAAATCATAGCATTCTCCTCCTTGGACAACACTGTCTGCCTCATCGATTCTTGTGCAATAGGCTTCCATGTCTCTGTCCCTGCAGCACCCTGGGAACCCAAATGCATCCGGCTGTGTTGTCATCCTTTGTCCAGCAGTCTCTTCCTCCAGGGCCTGCTAGAAGGAGAAGCTCAGTGAACACGAATTGAACCAGGGAACGAATGAAGTCCTTTCTCCGCTGCACAACTCCAGGCAGGCAAGAGGTGGGTGGGTTCATGGTTACTTAAAAAAAGAAACTGAGCCACGGAAAACCCCCTACCTGGTAGAAATGTGGCCAGAAGGTGCTGATGGCCAGCTCCGCCTTCACCCAGCCCTCGGTGACCACGCCGGACACGTTCCAGACGGGGTTCCCCTGGGGCCCTCCGTTCACCTTCACGTAGACGTTCAGGGCGCCTGGGCTGGACCTGTCGCGGCTGGAGAAGTAGTAATGGAAGTCGATGCAGTGAGTGTCGTTCTCCTTCAGGGTGGGCAGGAGGAGGTGGGCCTTCTGGCCGGAGGCCCTCCCGGAGCTGTTCACCATCATGAAGGAGCCTGGAGGCCCGCCGTGGGGGCAGGAAGGAGACAGGGAGAGAGAAAGTCTGAAAATCCATCACACCCCTCCACATGGCGGCCAGAAACGGGGGGGGGGGGGGGGGGGGGGGGGCTCCAGCAGGGCAACCTACATCTCCTCTCTCAACCTCCGCGCCCGCTTCTGTAATCGGGAATAACAATCCTACTCAACAAGGTGGTTTTAAAAATGAAGAGCTGGTAACATGCACCAGATGTTTCTACAAAGTGGACACTGAACATTTACGGAGGAGACATTGAAAGGGCAGGGCAGGGCTAACTCCTGATCCTCCATTTTGTAACTGGACCTTAGCCCTCACCCAACCAATCAGGGTCAGCCAAAGCAGTGACATCACCACCCCTATAAAACCCCTTGATCTGTTGAAGCTCGCTCTCTTCTGCCAAACCGCTGTTGGTGTAAGTGGGACAGAGCCCATGCTATCATGGAATAAAAGGCTCTTTTGTTTTTTTGCATCGATTCGGCTCCCTGGTGGTCTTTGGGGATCACGAAATCTGGGCATAACAACATGACATCCAGCAGCTCCTGCAGGAAGCACAGAACAGAATCCCAGGAGTTCAGTTCATGGCAACCTCCCTGGGTAAAAGGGGGTGAAATATAACCTCACGTAAGCTCTGGCTGTCTCAGTGGAAACAACCTCGGTGATATGGGAGGTGTCCTTGTCCCAACACAGGCCACCAGAGCCTTGTGCTCAGGACAGGGCACGTGAGAGGAGGCATAGAATCACACAGTGGGTCCCAGTCAGCAAGGAAGGCCCGGAGGAGATGGAGGTCCGCCAGGAGATGCTCGGCCAGGGAAGGAGAGGTGTCCCAGTGGGGTGCTCGGTGTCTGAGTGTCTGATTTAGATTTCATTCCATTTAACCTCCAGGATGACCCTGGGAGGCGGAGGATTCGTGTTATTTAAAGAATGAGTGGCCTGCCCTGGGCCGCGCAGACAGGGAGCGAGCAGACCCAGATTCGCTCCAGCCTCAAAGTGCAGGCTCTCATTGCTGCTGGCAGAAGACAGGACGGTGCTTTCAGGCACTTAAAAGGCTGTTTCCTAGGCAGGACGAGAGCCTCTTTGGAGTTGCTCTGACAGGTTAAAGGGTTGTTTCCAGCTCTCTGTCCCTCCCTGGATCTGCGTCCTTAGCCTCTTGCTTTTCAGAAGAGGCGGTGGGGGGGAGGGGGGGGGCAGGGGGCGTGCCCCATCCTCTGACTTAGGACTGCACTTGCTTTGCTCAAAAGTTGCTGACAGAACAATCCACGTGGAGGCTTGAAGTGTACGCGCCTCGCTGGGCCTGCCCTCTTGCCCAAATGCCACCTTTCGTGGGGAGAATGTGCCCCCCCCGGGTGGCTGTTGCCCCTCAGGTTGGGCTGGAGAACAGACTCATGTGGAGGAACACTGAGCAGAGGAGGCAGTGAAGAACCAAGCTGTGCCACCCCCGCAGCAAGAAGCACAGCCACGCAGCCCACAAGGCCAACCTAGATCAGAACCACACTCGATGCAAGGACCATGAGCATGAGAGCAAGTGCTCCTTGTGCGCCCTGGGTTTCCTCTCTGCACTTTAGGCAGCGATAGTGGATAGTGTGGCAACAGCTCCTTGACAAAGGTGCCTGAGCGGGCAGACTTCGGAAAGGAGCCACCAGGAGGCGCACTTCAGTGCAAAGGACCTTAAGGAGCAGAGCTGATGTGCAATGGGAAGGCCTGCCCTGAGCAGAGTGAGTCCCCATCCCCACAGGAGGTGCAGAGCCTGGACAAAGGGAGATGTCTAAGGAAACCGCACCATCACCTCTGCGGGCTGTGCTCTGTGACGTCAAGCCCTATGATTCTATGAAACGCCTGTCTCCTACAACACAGGCGACAGACCCAGGTGGTCCGGGATGAACGTTCTCACCTAGAAAACCACTGCTGTCTTGAAATCTGACTTGAACCACTCACCTATTCAATTCAGAATGAAACCTTACGGCTACTTACCCTCCACCAAGACGGGCCACGACAGCTAGAAGCAGCCTCATTCTTTCCCCCTAATTCCGAAAATACTAACAGCTGCCAGCCGGTAAGTACTGGGCAGCCCATATCGTGTTGGAGTTCTCAAGGGCACCCATCACTCACAGCCCGTCTCCTCTGGGATGTGAGTGAATTTAAAAATAGACAGGGGAGAGAGGCAGAGTTCAAAACCTCCGCTTCATTATTCCCAAAGCTGGACTTGAGAAAGTCACTTGGACTTGAGGCTAAATTAGGCTTCCTGTGTTTTGTTTTGTGAAGGGCATGTAGAGAACTTGGATGACCATGGACTCCCCCTTCCGACTATACCCACATTCCCAGGGCCAGAGCTGTCCTTGAGGGTTGACCACACAGGGCTGACGGGTGGGCTCATTTCCAACATAAGTCAATAAGAAGCAAGGTACCAAAGATAGAAACTTAAACCAGGGCTATCAGACTTTGCCATCCCACCAATCAAAAAGCTCACCCATCTCCTGGGGCAGGAGCCACTGAAAATGAGCAAAGGAGGAAAGGCTTGGTAGTAACAGAGGGGAAGGGGGAGATGTCCTTGTCAGATGGGATTGCTAATCATCAGAACTTCCCAGTGAGGCAGCAAGAAAGAAACCGCTGCAGAGGGTACACTGAGGCCAGCATCCCTGCCTCTGTGCATCTGCTGACCTGCGTCCCACAGGGTGCCAGGAGAGTTCCTGGGACAGATGAGTGATGACCCACAGCCCCGCAAAGGTTGGATGGCTGTGAGCACAGGAGCACAGGAGCCTAAGTGTAAGCAGAGCGGCAACCAAAGGAGCCTGGTCCCTGAATGGCCATGGCCCTGAGAGAGGCCTCCCACCTACTGAGAATACTCATCTCAGATCTTTAGTAAACAGGGAATCAACTATGGCTGGGTTATGAAGCTATTCAAATTCTGTTATTTTTCTCTGTAGCTAGCATTCTCGTTATTATGTTGCACCCCCCATGGAGCCCCTACTTTCTACAAGTTCCTTTATTTGGGAAGATGAGATGAGTAATGACAGCCACCAAGCAAAGCTGTAAGACACCCCAAATAGGAGCATCATTACAAGCAGCATCCTGGGGGAAAGCAGAAAGAAGGGAGAGGATGGAAAGACCGGGCTCTGAGAATGAATCCTGGAGAAGGAAAGGCATGTGTTGGACCTCCATTAGGAGAATTTGTGTCTTAGGTGGGCCAGCGTTGGGTTGGGTCAGGGACGCTTGTCATGTTCCCCACCACCACCCTGGCCCGTAATGTCCATTTGTGTAACTTAATGTGCATGCTCTGGCCCTCAGACTAGACAGAAAGGATGTGTTTTGGTGCTAGGCTCAGAGAAATAGATGAGATACTTTGGGGGGGGGAGAAAAAAGATAATGATGGCTGCCCACCCAGCCTACCCCCAAAGGAGCAAAGTATGCAGGCCAGAAGGTTATGGCCAACAGATGTCCTGGTGAGACTACAAAGCAGCACTCTGTGGGACGCAAAAGCACTTGAAATCTGACTCAAACCACTCAAATATTCAACTAAGAATGAAACCTTACTGCTACTTACCCTCAACCAAGATAAGCCAGGACCCCTATAAGCAGCCTCATTTTTTCACCCTAATTCCAAAAATTCCACACAGCAGCTGTGGAGAGGGTCCCTTTCTATGGCTTGCAGGCAGTGAGCTTCCACAAGGAGGACAGAAAGTGGCCACACAAGCAGCTGACCCTCCCTTCATGCCCTCATGAGACCACAGGGAGAGCCCTGTGAGGGCAGACAGAACTGGCAGGCAAGCACGTGCAGATTTGGGAGACACACCATTTAGACCCTGTATTTGTGTCCTATGGTTCCTATAACTAATTACCACAAACTCAGTGGCTCGATACAACACAAATGTATTCTCTTATGCTTCTGGAGGTCAGAGGTGCAAAGTTGAGGTGTTAGGAAGGCTGCTTTCCTTCTGGAGGCTATAGCAGACAACCGATTTCCCTGCCTGGCCCAGATTTTAGTGGCCGCCTCCATTCCTTGGCTCATGGACCCTTCTTCCATCTCCAAAGGGCATGACTTCAATATCTATTTCCTTCAGCAAAACGCCTTGTTCTGACATTGACCCCTCTGCCTGCTTCCTATAAGGATGCTCTTACAAGGGTCCACCCAGACAATCCAGTATAATCTCCCCGCTGCGAGATCCTTAATCCAGTCACATCTGCAAAGTCCCTTTTGCCCTGTCAGGTAGCATATAGTACAATAACATATATTTCCCAACCCCCCAAGGCACCTTAATTTATGATGGCAACGCCCTTATCCCCGCTGCACTTCTAGGCACAGATCGCTCCCATGTCTTTGCCACTCGTTGTGGTGTCTCAGTGACTGGTCGAGGGACACGTAGTCGCATTGCCTTAGCCCCAGAATCAACAGGGTTCAAGAGACAGCTCTTTCTGCAGACTCCATGCCTTTTTTTCCCCTCCTGCATCCAGATGCACTCACTGAGCACCATGTCCCCTACAGTTCAGCTCTCACTTCCTCATGGCATCATCCTTTGGGATGAATTTCTCTCTGTCCGTGGCCCTACAGTCAGTCCCTACAGCTAGCCCCTCCAGCCTGTAGGACACGGGAGTACTCTCATAGCCTCACTGCATAGAGCTCACCTTTTTCTCTCCTAACGCCCCTTCCCCAGGAATATCCTCAGCCACATCAGGTTAGTATACCTCCGAAAACATAAATAGAAACTAGGGGCTGTATCGCTAAACTCCACACATCGGAACGTCTGAGCCTGTCTTCTTCCGCAGGCTGGGTCCCTCCCATGGAAGTGTGCCTGGTGAGGATGTGGGAGAGCATTCCACTCAGAGGGGACAACACGTGCAAAGGCACTGGGGCAGGGGGTCATAGCATCCAGCGATGCGAGCGAAGCTGGAGGTGGCCAATCCCCCGGAAGAAGGGAGCAAATCTGAGCGCGAGCACAGACCTGCCATTTCACAGCTTGTTCGGGAGGGAAGCCCTCATGCACCGGC